GAATGATGAACGGTTTAGCGAACTTGGTCATAACAGTGGTTTTTTGTGTTTTATATTTTTTATTTTTTATTCATTTTCAAATTTGTTAAAAAACTTGACTCGAAACATAGATAGTATTCAGTACACTGTTTATTAACCTAAGCAATTGCCTCATTACTATGAGGCAATTGCTTAGGGTATGCACACCAAAAGTACAAACAGGGATACCATCCATGCACAACATGGTACTGTTAATACTTTAATACTTTTCAGCTGTTGATGAAATCAGCCTCTCTGAGAGCTACCACAGAGTTCGGGAAACTTGACTACCAGCCGGCCTCAGAACCATGAAACTGAGTTTTAAAGCTGTACCCTCATTAGTAGATAATAGAATGAGTTGCCTAGTCAGAAAAACAGAGACATAAACAAAACCCATGCATCAAGTCAAGAAGATCCAGCATTTAACATCCTAAACTGGAAACAATGTATTAAGAACACATCTGCGCTAGCCTAATAGATGAAGAAGAGATGCGAGGCCGTCAACAGATAGAATCTGTTTACACCTTAAGTCTTTGCCTAGGAGGCCTTCTACAAGACAGCAGCCGGATGTATTTAACATCTGCCCAAGATGAGTATTTTTATCAAGACACCATCTCTATCCATTACTCAACCAAGAGCCCCAAGGCAGAGGTGTTTTATGTCAGAGTTGGCATCTCCTAGCGTTTGCCTAAAAAGGCGTATCCTACAAGGCAGCAGGAAATGAATATATATATATATATATATATATATATATATATATATATATATATATATATGTATATATACATATATATATATATATATATACATATATATATATATATATATATATATATATATATATATATATATATATATATATATATATATATATATATATACACATATATATATATATATAATATATATATATATATATATATATATACATATATATATATATATATATATATATATATATATATATATATATATATATATATATATATATATATATATATATATATATATATATATATATATATATATATATATATATATATATATGTATATATGTATACACATATAATATATACATATATATAAATTGGTTCAAGGATTTTTTGTGGTTGCATTATGATGAAAGATAACATACATTTTTGATTTGCCTGTCAAGTTAAAACAATCAAAATTATTTCGTCAAAAAAAATTGCATTTTATTAGAACTGACAGTGTTTTACTATTTTATTCAAGAAAGAATAGGAAACCATAAATATCAGAGAAATAAAGAAGATGCTTGTATTACTAAAGGTTTCTTTTCATGGAAAAAAGCTCAAAAAGGTTTTCAGACTTACCACGATTCAGTATGTGTCAAAATAGCCTCAATGTCAAGATAATTCGGAGATAATGGATAAGCAGATTTTCGATTGGAGAGCTATAAAACGTATTGTTGGATATACGTTCTTTTAAAATTTTCACCGAGACGACAACATTTGCATGGAAACATTAATGAGAACTTCGAGATAGAACAAGGCTCTGAACCATTCAAAAAGCTGAAGAAACTTTCACGACAAGATAGACAGTTCGGGCAGATGTATTAAGAGAGTCATTGATAATTATGAATCCTTTTATGCAACTTTGGGACGAATGTATGAAAGAAAAACTTGACCAAGAGAAAAAATGTTGTAAAAGCAAGATGAAATCCTTTTACTTCATTAATCTCTGTTATAAGCTTTACGCCATGACTGATAACTTGCCAAAATCTCTATAATTGACAAAGAAAATCTGCATGTTTTGCAATTGATATAATAAAAAATATAACAACTTCTGTTTGTTTTTTGCGGTGAATGAGAAAGCAGCAAAATCAATGAAATCAATTGAAAAAACTACCTCGCAGCGAAAACAAAAAAAATCGAATTATTCCATTTTTCATTGCGTCATTAATCACAAAGAACAAACAAGCAATGCCTATTAACCAGAAACAGCCGATGATTATTTTAAGCCAATAAAAATTATATTACCCAGAAACAGCCGATGATTATTTTAAGCCAATATATTTTGAAGCTCTTGACACAATTGTTAATGTAATAGAAGATCGATTCAAACAACCAGTATTCAAGAAGTTTATGAACTTCGAATTAATTAATTACTTCAAAATTACTAAATAATTGACCATCGTTATTTATTGCATTTTTTAAAATGTTCTAGTAATACAAGCTAACACTTCTTTATTTGTTATTTTTACAACTGTTTTATAAATAAGCGTCTTTATTGTTTTGGCAACAAGTTAAACTAGTTAATTTACACTATAATGTACTTCAATAGTACAAGTTAATTTACACTATAATGTACTTCAATAGTACAAGTTAATTTACACTATAATGTACTGCTCTAGTAGTTAAACAAGGATGGGTTATTATTTCTTATTAATTATCTGTGCTTAAGTAAAAATTTAAAAATAACTACTTTTAAATTTTTGATTTAACTTATATTTTTTGAAAAAATAATTCTTGTAGTTTAACAATGTAATCTTTAAAACTCAAATATTTAAATTAAACACCAAATAAAAATATAAAGTTCTACTATTAACTAAAACCCATTTTCTGAATATAATCCTAACGATTCCTACTAATTTCTCACCAAAACCGGCTAATCCAACCAAATGCCGAGTAAAAAGCTTATCATTCCTACTAAGTTTTGACTAAAACTTGTTAATACGGCTAATTGCCTCAATGTCTGAGTATTCCTACAAATTCCGATTAAAACATACTTATTCTACTAAGTTTCACGCGAGTACTCGTGAAGAACTGGTCCAACTTATCCACGTGTTTTTTTTTTTATTCTAGGACTGACCTTTAATCCTGTAGAACCCATAATCTAGCTAAATTTTTTATCTAAAAATTAACTCGCTCTCGCGAATTATTAGTACTACTTTGGTTTTATAGGTTTTAAAGCTGAAGTTTATTAAAAGTTAACAACTTTTTTCAGGGATTCTTCAATTTTATGTTTGCTGCTATCTTTTGCTATGAATAAATAATTTTAAAGTGTCTAAAATATACATTAATAGGTCTTTTAAAAAGTGCATTTAAAATATTTTATTTTCATTTAATTTTTTCAAACAATGCGCTTTTTGTTTATGCCCCACTTAGATACAGTTAGATACACTAGATACACTTAGATACAGTTTCAAATTTTTTTTTTATGAAATTGCTGATGATTACAGATTGTAAAACTTGCACTTATTGAGCCCTTTTGTGTTTAATTAGCGGAAATGTTTTAATTACATCGGTTGAAACCAGGTAACGAAACCAGGTCATGACCTGTCCTTTATAATTTTTTTTTTTAAGATTTGTTTTGAGCAAATTTAAACGAATAAAACTAATCGAGTTTTCGAGTAACTTTTTTTGAGTGACTTTTTACATTAAATTCAAATTACTTTAATTTATTTTAGTGATTAGAATAACTTTTAATATTATTTATTCATGCAAGTTTTTAGTTTTCTTTCTTTTTTCTATTATCATTTACCAGTTTATAAAAAAAATTTAATTGAAATTACTTAAAAACTCATTAAAAACGTCTGACAATTGTAAATAAACGTTTAAAAATCTATGGAGTAACTTTTCTTAAGTCTAACAAGTGTCCTTAAAATAATTGTTTAACTTAAAAATTCCAAACAAAAAAATATTAATTCTGTCCAAACAAATTAATTCCAAAAAAACAATTCCTAACAAAAAAATATTAATTTTTAAAAATATATATATTTTTTGAAATTTTGACAAATTTCAAAAAATATATATTTTTTTGGGGAAAAAAAAAAAATTTGGAGGAGGAGGGGGGGGGGGGGGGGAGGAAAGAGGAGGGTTATTTTTTGTCATTCGCCCGAAATGGTCGCGGGAGACAGAAGGGTTAATTAAACATTCGTTATATTCGATTTAGACTAAATAAAATTTTCATTAAAAAATGGAAAGTAATGATAGAGATAAAGGTTTTCAATATTATTTCTCATTCTAAAATTAAAAAAAAAAAAAAATTTGGTATTTTTTTTATTGTTTGTTATGAGAAATTTTCTGAATAAATATTCGTGCTATTGCAGAATATGATGATGATAAATAAATTTTTTTTAATGTTTAATTTTTTTCTTTTTTTAAACGTCGTATAACGTCATTTTTTTTCTTTTGCTAAACATTTTTGATGAAAAAGTTAGAATAATAAAAATAAAATTTTTTTTTGTTTTTTCTGAATTACATCTATATATAGCGCTATTATCAAATGTTAATTGCCATTCTAACTTTTTTACGTAACTGTCATTCAAACTTCGTAAGAGGTTTTTTATAACGTTAATTACTTCTTTTATCTTACCGCTTAAACAATATCTTGTTTAAATATTATAAAAGGATAAAAAGTGGCTCGACCGAAATATCTTGATGCTTACATTAAATGGTTTAGAGCGTACGTAAATGGCGCGCCAGTTTACGCTTTAAAACAAGGCCTGTACATACACACATACATATACCCTAAACTATAACTTATTTTATACGTATTATATACTTTAAATTATCCTAGATGTCAATTTCATCTCATCAAGACTCTTTAGGAGGAAGCATCTTTTCTTCCTAAAAACTCTTATAGAAATGAAACTGACAGTCGTTAAGTTGGCTCGACAAATATAGTCATCAGAAGATGAAAAGGACTGTATGGATAGAAAGTACACACTTTGATCCTATCAATACAGATTTTATTGAAGAAGAATGAAACCAATCAAAATATTGGTTTGAATTTGAAGAGTACACGGGAAAAAAAAATGACATAGTTACATTTAAAACGTTTTGTGAAAGTATATATTGATCATTTTTTCTTTTGTGTTCTTCAAATGGTTAAACTTACTCAAGTTAACGACCCTTTTCAAAGTGGTAGCTAGTAGGATAATAATAAACTCTGACATCATTATGTAAAAAAACAAATTCAAATATTTTTTGTTTAAACAACCAGCTCAAAACAAATTATTATAATAGTTTATATTTATTTTTATTAATATTTTATAAAAGGTTGTTGCTGAGACAACATCGCAATAAAGTCAATATCCACATCTTGCACTTGTCCATCGTTAACATTTTTTATAACAGATGTACCGGCTGAAAGTTTGGAGGTAAATGACTGAAACCAATCCGCCCAATCTGGTTCCGGATCACCTGATGTCACTGTAATGCTTTTAGTTTGCGCACAAGTAAAATAATTTGAGTTGTTTGTTGGATATAGGTAACTGTCTTTGAAAATAGCAAAGCGACGAGAATCATTTTGTTCGTTTGTAATCTGTAAACCATTTACTCTATAACTAGAAGAAATTTCAAGTTCTCTATTTTTAGAAGATATCGAGTTCAACTCTTTTGATTCCTCCTTGTAAGACTTTTCGTTTTCAACTAAAACCGAGACAGCATTCTTTTCGCATTTAGGATAAAAACTAATGACATTCGTTTCCAAAACAGTATCACTCATGTGTGGCGATAAACAACTGTCAGATATATTGGATGACATATTATAGGAATATAGATCGCTTTTAGGGCAAATTTGACTAGGAAAATGGTTAGATGTCTTACTATGAATGTTCCATGATTCAGTACTATTTAATCTCTCTGAAGAAGAACGGAACAAACCTCCCTTAAAATCAGCAACAATTGTTTCTGCTAATAGATCTAGATTATTCTGCATTGAATGAGGATATATGATAACTTGGTTTACAAGATCGTATTTTGGACTGGAAACTGATTTTTTGAACTGCGAATACATAAAAGTATTTTCAGAACAATCCTGCGGACTTGTGCTTAATTTGAACTGATTTTCAAATTTATAAGAAGCTTTTTTCACGACGAGTTTCTTTTGAAGATTTGTGTGATAACGATTTATGTGAATATTGAGGTTACCTAAATCGAAATTTTTCAGTAAATATTTTTTATTATAAAAATAGTTATACCTCATAATAAACTATAAAATAAATGTAGATAAATAAAAAATGAAAATAAAAATTAATAAATCATAATAATCGTAAAACTTTAATGTTGTTTAAAATTTTGTTATTTCAAAAATTCTATTTATATTTAATTCAAAATAATTTCAAAAATTCAATTTACATTTAATTCGAAATAATTTTGCACTTTGCATCATTGCATAATGTAAAGCACAGCTGGTAACAAATATTAATTGAAACATCTCACTCCATCCTCTCTAATGTTTTACCTCTCTGAGAAAACGATCTTTTGCAAATCTCACATGTATATGGTTTTTCTCCTGTATGCGACCTCATATGCGTTTTCAAATCACATTTAAATGCAAACATTCGTGAACAAGTTTTACAAGAAAACAAATGCTTTCCTTCTTTTACCAACTTTTCATATCTTCTTTTTTTGCCTTCATGAATAGCTCTAATGAATATTTTTAATATTATTGTAAAATAATAGTTTTATTGTTTATCTTTCTTTTTACCATTTTATATAAATATGTTAATAAAAAAGATGAATATAAAACCTATATCAAAATAAATTCAACCTGCATAATAAACTACAAGCAAAAAATCAAAAATCTTCAAAAAAAATATCAACAATATTATTTAAACTATTATTGAAAATATTATTTATTAATATTATTTAAAACAACTATTAGAATATAAATACACAATTTCAATTTATTAAAAACTGATCAACGGGATCCCACCTGTAATGTTGTTTAAAATTTCCTTTCGTTGAAAACGATTTCTGACATTTTGAGCAATTAAATGCTTTATCTCCAGTATGTGTTAGACAATGTTTTTGTAACGTTTTTTCAGTGGGAAAAAACATTTCACAGATAAGACATGAGAATGTTTTTAACGTTTTTGGCGATGCCCCGAATGATTTCAGTTCAGTTAAAAACTTAGCACAATTAAGCGCCCTTAACAAACAACAAAAAAAATAGTAGTATATAAACAAACATAAACTCTAATCATTTTGTTTCAAAATCTTGATAAGATTTTTGAAAATTATTAAACATAACTTTACCTGAAATGTTTTTTGGCAGATCCCATATCAGAAAACATCTTGTTGCATTTATAACAAATATTGCCAGACGTCCAATGATCGCTAAATGATGATTGCAAAACAAGGATTTGGTCAACAAAGTACTCATTTATTCTATAATCTATTCAAATTACTTATTATTAAAACGTCGACTTTAATCCAGACAGTTGTGTGTGTGTGTGTGTGTGTGTGTGTGTATACATACATACATACATACATACATACATACATATATATATATATATATATATATATATATATATATATATATATATATATATATATATATATATATATATATATATATATATATATATATATATATATATATAGCACTATAAAAATTTGTATTTTTATACTTATGTTATAATGCACTATAAATATTTGTATTACAATTTGCAAATAATTTTGTAAATAGTATAATTCACCTTGTGATATGAGTAATCAAATGATGAAGCTGAAAAAATCTCAACGAGCAATCAGAACAACGAACATCAGTGCTTTCATTATGATTTCTAAAAAAAAATTTTGTACAATTTGAAACATTTATTTAAAAAAATAAAAACTTTTCAAAACATTTTTAATTATTTTACCTCAGATGTTCATCATACAAAGTTTTGTTTTTAAACATATTATTGCAATATGTGCATTTAATTTGCTCACCAACATCTTCTGAAAAAAAAATTACCATCTTTGAATAAAAAATGTTAGACACACGCATAGAGTTTGAGACTTTTACATAAATTAAATATCAATCAAAAGTTATGTATTGTTATTTCGCAGCAAAAAACATAAAATTTTAAATAAAAAATAAACACTCCAACGCTTTGGTATGTATGCTATGGAGATTGGTTTCAGCATAAATGAGTATCTGTTACACATGAGTATGTCATAATTACATACTTATATGTAATTATGAAGATCATATTTTCATATAAGAAATTTGTCAATGAGCAAAACTGAGTATGTTTTATAAACATTTTGCAAAATTATGACATTTTAAATTTAACATTAATTAAAATTTAACATTTCATAAAGTTAGCTATAAAATTGGCTTTTGTTGATTTAAATATTTATTTTCAGAAATAATATTTTTTAATAATAATCAATTATATATATTAAATAATTAAAGAAATAACCTAATATATTAATTTATGTATATATATATAAAATATATAATATATTTTATATAAAATATAAAATAAAATATATTAATAACAAATGATTAAAACTATTATATTTAATTTTTATTATATTTTATTTTATCATATACTAATTTTATCTTCAATGTAATTTTTATTGCAGTCAAGCATCTTAATTTAAATATGATATAATTTACATTAAATTATTAATGAATATGAACAAAAGACAAGATTATTAATGAATATAAGCAGAGAGCAGTTATACCTAAAGACATAATACCACCAACCCATTCATTAAAACCATGCCATTTATTAGAGTTTTTTTATGTCTTCATGAAAAATTCATTTAATTGTTGTAATATTTATTTTTGTTGCAATGGGCTCAGTGAGTAGTAAATCATAAAGTTTTAAGTTAAAAACTACAACTTTAATCAACATAAGTTTTTTTCTAAAGTTCACTGATTTAATTTGTTTGACATAAAACAGTAAACTGTTACAAATTGGGACAAGGTGATAGGTAAAACAATTTCTTCTGATTTAGGTAAGGGAAAATTTACTCTAATTTACAAACCAAAACTCACTATTCGTTTATGATTAGACAAAAAAGTACTTAATTAAATAATTTAGTACTCTACTTTTAGTTAAGTATTAATTATATTAACTAATTTAAACTAATTTGGATAATTAATATAAATGTATAATTAATAAAATAACAGCAGTAATTTAAAAAAATTATGATCAAAAAACTTTAAATTTTAAGTATAAAATTATGTGTTACATCTAAAATACTGAGAGATGTGACATATTTGGTCATAATTTAAAACTATATGGTGTGAACAAGAAGTTTTCAAAATATAACAGGTTTTTGCATGCGTAGAATAGAAAAGATATACAAGATAGAGAAGATGATGGATGAGGTAGATATGTGTTGGATGAGATAGATATGTGTTGGGTGAGGTAGATATAGGTTGGACGAGGTAAATATGTAAAAAAATACACAAGAAGACATATAAAAAACAAATATAGATTTTGATTGATTGGGTGAAATTTGTTAGTTAAAAAATGATAATTTACAAATTAATTGGTTGCACTTTGTATTGTAAAGCAAAATTAAACCTAATAAATTAATCATTAATTCAACACTTAAAATCCCCCTGGGTTCTGAATGTTTTTAGAACCATCTAATTAAAAAAAAAAATTTACAAAATAACAGCACTCACCACATATTTCATTGTAAACAGTTTTCGAACAGTTTGTATTATGTGATACAGTAAGGTATTTTTTCTCTGTAAAATGATCCACCAAGTTTGCTGCAAGTATTAAATATTACAAAACTCAGGTTTTTAAAAAATATGCTGCTTAAAAAAAAAGAATTATAATGTAATTACAAACCTCCACTGTTTAATGCCATTGAAAAAAATAAAAACAACTCAAATGATTAGCTTCATCATGACATGACAATTCATATGATATTAGAAAGCAAAGCAATAACTTTTAATACATGAAAAAAAAAATTTTATAATTTATAAAAATTTATTTTTGTGTAAATTTTCAGATCTAATTTTTTTTTATTTCCATTTCTAATCTTGACAAATATATAGACAACATAATTTACAGATAACCACAAGATCTTAATTGATGGATTTAAGACAACCAAAAAATCACTGATGACTTTTTACTAGAACAGTCATAGATATAAAATGTCTACTTTATATATATAAATATATATATATATATATAAATATATATATATATATATATATATATATATTTCTTTTAACTATATGTATATGTGTGTATGTATATATATATATATATATATATATGCACACAAACACACACACATATATATATATTTCAACTATATGTATATGTGTGAGTATATATATATATATATATATATATATATATATATATATATATATATATACATATATATACATACAAAAAGTTGGCAAATGTATATCTATATACACTATAATATACTATATTTATATACATACATATAAATTATATATATATATATATATATATATATATATATATATATATATATATATATATACTATAATATACTATAATTATATACATACATATATATTTATATATACATATATAAACATATATATATATATATATACATATATATACATATATATATATACACACATATATATATATATATATATATATATAATTTATATATATATATATATATATATATATATATATATATATATATATATATATATATATATATATATATATATATATATATATATATATATATATATATATATATATATATATATATACAGTATCAGACAAAACATGGTGGACAAACTCAAATTAAAACAAAAGTTGATCATAAACCGAAAAAAAAAGTAGTAAAAAAATTGAACATATTAATTTTTAAGTAGTTTATTACGTTGTTAACAAAATTTAAAACTTTTGAATCATACTAAAAATCACCAAAAAAGTTTTATAACACATTTTCCTTAACAAAATATATTTTTCTTTGGACAAAACAAGGTTGACATTCAAAAAATTGACTGAAAATTCAAAAATTTTTAAAAATTAATTTATTATTTTTCAAAAAACTTCAAAAATTAACTTAATATTTGGTAGGACCTCTTTTAGTTTCAATTACTACTTTCATTCTTCGAGGCATAAACTCAATTAATGAGTCAACAATTCTCATATCAATCTCTCGCCAGGCCTCAATTTGTTCAAATAATTCCTCACTGGTCTTCAGATTTGCGCGCTTAATCTTATTGTCAATTATTTCCCAGAAATTTTCAATCGGATTCAAATCAGGGCTTTGCGCAGGCCACTCCATTACGGAGATATTCTTATCTTTGAACCATTGTTTTATAATTTTTGATGTGTGTTTGGGGTTATTGTCCTGTTGAAAAATCCATTTTAGAGGCATCTCCCATTCAGCATTTGGTAACATCTTCCATTATATCTTTGTACAAAGCAGACCATAATTCCATTAATTTTGTGAATAGGACCAGTTCCTATTGCAGAGAAACATCCCCAAACCATAGCAGACATTCCATGCTTAACACTTTGGTATATTGTATCTGGTGTTCTTTGCTCTCCAAACTTGCTTCTTGCCGTCGCTTCCTAAAAGTTTATATTTTGATTCATCACTAAAAAGTATGTTTTTTCCACTGGTCTACAGTCCAATTTTGGTGCGCTTTGGCAAACGCTTTCTATTTTAAAAAGAAGTTGGTGGTTTTTGGCAGTCTTTCAAGAAAACAATTTTGCTTTGTTAGCTCTTTGTCGCACAGTGAGATTGGAGATTTATAGTTCAAGTTTTTCAGTTAATTTTGTGGATGACAAAAATTTTTTAAGCTCTTTAACAATTCTTTGATCTAGTCTTTGTGATGTTTTTCTTGGATGTCCGCCCTAATGGTTTGTTTTATAGCAGTCACAAGATCCAAATGATTTGACAGTTTTGCTTACAGTCGATTTAGCTATATTATATTTTCTACAGATTTCAGCTTGACTTTTTCTGCTTTAATAATATTTTAAAATCTTTAATAATATTTTCACATAAAATATAATTTTTAATTTGTCATAAACCATTTTAAATTGCAATTTTTTACTCGATATATCATGAGTTTAATCTATTTTTATTTTAATTGAAAAAATAATTGTTCAGTCATTCCAAAATCTATTTTATTAATTTAGAGTACTGTTATGATAAAAGTGAAAACAAAAGAACATGATAAAATGAATAAAGACAATGAAATCTTATAAAAAAAGCATCGTTTTGATTTATCCATCTTGTTTTGTCCAAAAAAATGTAGTTTGTTGAGAAAAATGTGTTTTAAATTTTTTTTGTGATTCTTAGTACAATTGTTTTACTATTTTTTTTTTTTAGTTTTTGATCAATATTCATTTTTTTTTTAATTCACAATTCTCTGTCTCTAAAATCTTTTATTTTCCAACTTTTGATTAACTTGCACATATTAGTGATTATTTAGCAATAAATTACAAAAAAAGATAAATTATATATAATACCACAATTATTAAACAAAAATTAGTTAGCCAGAACAGTATATTTTAAAGTTGATAGAGTTTTTAAATTTAAATTTTAAATTTAATGATTTTGGTATTAATGATGTAAGATCTTTGCAATGACATTGCAAATGGTGTACGCTTTTTTCTAATGAATAAAAATAAGAAATAAAAAGGAAAAAAGAAAAAAGGGAAAAGAAAACATTAATAAATTAAACGAAAAGTAAAATCAACTAAAAAGAAATATAAATGTTTTAAAAAAAGAAAAGAAAAAGAAATATCTGTAAGAAAACAAGTAAAGAAGTATTGAAAATAGAAGTTAGCAAAAAAAGTTAATGAATGAAATAAATAAAAAGAATAGAAAAGTAAGAAAAAAAAACTATCTATACATCGAAAAAAGATCAGCAAATCAAGATTTTTTTATTTTTTAATATATTTCCTTAGTTTTATTTCATATATTTCTTTACTTTTCTTTCATATATTTTTTAGGACTCTTTATTTACGATTAATTTTTTAATTATGCTGTTATGTGGTCTTGTAGTAACGATTTTTCTTTAGTTTTTTAGCATATAAAGTTTTACTTAATAATTTTTGTTAGTGATTTGTTGTATATATAATTTTTTATACAGTTATATATTATTTGTTTTATTTAATGTACAAATAATAATAATACTGTGTATTATTATTATTTGTACAGTATATTCTTTATTTATTACTTTTTTTATTTTTAATTATATCTTATAATGTTTAGTAAAAGATTTAGTAAATATATTTACTAAATCCTTATAATAATTTTAAGCGTTATAAATGATTTTAAGTTGTTTTGTCAGTTACTGTTTTTAACTGTAACTTTGTATGTATAAACGATTGTTGTATGGAAAGTTTTATTTAAACTGATTTATATTATTATAATACTATTATTATTACTATTGTTGAAATAACTTGTTATTATTTATTATTATTATCATAAATATTTTTATTATTACCATTACTATTTTCATCATTGTCATTTGGTGTTTATTTAATGTTAATAGTTTATACTATTTGTTAACAACCTTAAAATGTAATATCGAATATTTCAGAAATATATCGATTGATTGATATTGATTGACAGCAAGTTAATCCAAATATTAACTACCAATTGATTTTTATTTAATACCAAGAAAATTGATATATTTAGGCAAACTTAATTAGCGCAAATTAATTAGCGTTATTTTGCAAAAATAATTCAGCGCTACAGATTTTTCAAGCTTTCATTCCACCTTTTTAATGTGGACTCGGTACCGGGTATATATATATATATATATATATATATATATATATATATATATATATATATATATATATATATATATATATATATATATATATATATATATATATATATATGTTTGGTGTTTTAAAGAATATTTTGATAAACAAACAAAAAAGGATAAAAAAAAAAAGAAAGAAATTTTTTTTTAGATTAAATTAATTTAATTAAGTTAATAAATTGATAAATGAAATAAAAAATCAATAGAAGGTTCAAGGAGCATGAAAGAGCCTGATTATAAAATAAATAAAAAAATAATAAATAAGATTAATCATGATATGCATGATAAACTTTTATTTTTAATAAAAAAAAAAAGGTTGTAATATTTTAGTAAAAAAAACAAACAAGATCAATAAAACATTGAAAAAATTTTACTAAAATAAAAAACAAAAAAAGTTATAATAATACTAAAATTCAATTCAAGCAATAAAATTTTACTTACAAATTATATTTTAAAACAAGAAAAAAAAAACTTTTTACAAATAATATACAAGCTTTTAACACTTAAATAACTTACAGTTTGATAAGATAAATATTTGAAATATACACTGAGATTTCTTTCAGAAGAGTTACAGTTTAGATTTAGTAAAAACTAACTTAGGTTCATAGAAAAACACTTCAGGTGTAAATGTTCCATGGAAACCATATGGAACATGATGCTTAAGTTTAATTCTTGCTAAAGGACCATCATCAACATGTTGCGCATCAATAATACAAAAATCTGTTTTATGCGTATCCGGGTGATAAAGTTGAACTATTATATAGCCATCATCTTCGCTACCCTTTTTATTAGATTCATAACCATGCCGTGGGATGAAAACAGGCTCTCCTATAATACCATCTGAATTCCAAACTGTCTTTTTTAGTGATTTAATGTCAAGCTAAAGTTTTTAAATCTTTAAAAATACATACACACACAAATGCAAATAAATTTAAATATATATACATACACACAGAGATAAAAATATATTTAAATATATATACATACACACACTGGGATATAAACATAATTATATTACTCTGGATTAGAGTCTGCATGATGTATGTAAAAACCAAACCATAATCCTAAGCTACAAATTAATTTTAAAAAAATTTTGAATTTACCTTTACAACATCTTTAAATGGCAAATTTTCTTCTCCATCTGATGCCATTAAGTACACGAATTTAGAACCAGACTCTCCATGTCTATAAGGGTGAGTAATTGGAAATTCAGCAGACTTATTGTAAATAAGTTCTCGTTTGCATTCATTTTTGGAGAGATCTATTGTGAAATTATAAACCTGTCCCGGACTTACATCTGCATTTGACAACCATAGGCCTTGAGCAAATGACATATTCATTGTTTCACTTAAGCAAACAGAACTAAAGTGTAGCTTATCACCATTTTGCTCAGCTGTGGCAAAATGAAATATCTAGAACATAATAAATTTTATTATTTAAATATTTGTATTCAAACTTTATAAACCAATAAAACTAACAATAACATTTTAAGTGACACAAAAAGATTTTTTAGCTAATTATTGTTAATTTTTGAGTAGCCAAATAAAAAGACATGAATCATAATAAAAGAAAGAGACATAAAAGAAAGAATTAAATATTATTTTAATTTTTGATTTAGCCAAAGTAACAGCAAAAAATGTAAGGAATATAGAAATAAATATTTCAAAAAGAACTAATGTATTAAAATGTACATTATCCAATTAAAATGTGCAGGTAGGAATACATCAAATTTGGCAAACCATCTTTGAGCAAAACATAAGATTGTTATTTAAAAAAATAAAGATTATACTCCTACTCATTCCTAATCAACACAAAAAAGCAAAAACAAATATGTTAAAAAAGAACGCCAATAGAAGAATTATCAGCACAAAGTGCAGAGAAAAAAATGAATTAAAAAATGTGGATATGAAATGCCTAGGAACAAAAAAAGTTAAAATATCAATTATAATCTTAAGAGAAAAAATTTGAATTAAATGATAAGTAAAAATTAAAAAAATTCATTTCTCAATAACATTAGATGAACGAACCTGTAATTCCAAAAGATAATTAAAAGTAACATTGCATTCTCAGCATTAGGCCTTATTATTGAAGAAGGTAATTTATACAAAGAGTAGTCATTAGTTGAACAAAAAGTAACAAATAAAACTTAGAAATATATTTGCATCAACACTAGGTGGAGCCAGCATTCTAAAATGCATAATTAAATGGAATTAAAAACCAATTCTGTATCAATTGTCATTTATTTGGTTGTTTTAGATTTTAGCTTTTTGCAAAAAGGAAATATAAATTTGTGGCATAAAGAGAGGGTTGGGTGGTCTTTAAGATTAAAGTAATGTAAAAAAAGGGTTCAGTGGTCTTTAAGATGAAAGTGGTGTAAAGTCAGGGTTGGTCTTTGGAAAAGAAGAAGTAGTTTTTAGTAATGAAAGTAACTTTCAAATAATAAAAATAAAAATAACTTTTTATTAAAAGATTAAAATCTGGAAAGTAATCTTTTACAGAGGCTGCAAGGTAGGTTAAGAGATTTGGTACTTAGGTAGGTTAAGAGATTGGTACTTAGGTAGGTTAAGAGATTTGGGGCAGCTTTAATTTTGAAGGAGTAAGTGTGTAAAATATTGAATACAAATTGGATCAAACAACACACTTATATAGAGACACTACTACATGTTTCATCGGTAGTCATGCAGATTGATTAAAGCAAATGGTGGTAGTTTCAACAAAATATGATGTCAACCCACACAGCTAATTCAGTAAATGGATGGATGAATAAAGCAAAGTAAATCTATTGCCCTGGCCAGTCTAATTACCAGATTAACAAAAATGGTCGCTTTTAAGTTTTTACATAAAAAGTTTTGGGTTTTTTTTAAAAAAAAAACTATTTTAATTACTGGAAAAAATTTAAAAAACTTTTTTTTTAAAGTTTTTTTTTTTAATTATTTGATAGACTGTTTGCCCTAACCAAAACCTCAGTCAATGTAGCAGCACTTCCTTGTAGCAGCAGGCTTTAAGATAGTTGATGTAGCATCACTCTGCGCATGTTTTACAGTAAAAAAATAAAAATATTAAGAATGTTTTTATTTTTAAAAAACAAAATAAAAACATTCTAAATGTTTTTAAAAACATTGTAGTCTTTTAAGTTGCGCTTTTGTGGTTTTTTAAATTTAGCTAGTTTCCACAATTAAACAAATGTGTTTTATTATAATCTAACCTTAATTTTGTCAGTTTAAAAACCATAGACAAGCTACGAGCTGTTTTTGCAAACTGTATATTTAAGCCCTTTATTATATATTAGCTAATCCCATAATTTTTTTTCGACAATCAATTTTTATGCGGAGTGGCGTAGAGATGATATTTATATCAAAAAAAATTTATTTATTATTTTTTCTTGATAGAAGTATTTGCGCTGATTGTTCAAAGTTAGGCTTTTTGTGATTTTTGACTAAATTTAGGGCAATTTCCAAGCATCGACGCAAATAGATTATGATGTCAAATCCAGTTAATTTGTTCAACGATGATTTCTTTATGTGTTCCTGTATTAAAAAAAAATACTGTGATTATTAATTTAAGAAATATGTAGTGCCTATCTTTCACGGATTTCAATAAATTAACACTTTTTTGTTCATCATACAACAAATTTTATAATTTTTGTCTCATTTTGTTATCAAATGATGTTTTTTTTTTCAAAATACTGTTACTGGAGCCTTGGATCAAACAAATCCAAATCCAAAATAGTTTTCTTGAAAGATTGGGTAAATGATTTTGGACTTTGTTGTACACTAAACTAAATCAAAATGTATCAATATGACTCAAATGTATATATATATATATATATATATATATATATATATATATATAGACATTTTTTCTGTGATTTTTTAGGTGCTCCAAGAAGACCTAATGGTCGCACTGCAGAAGAGCATTTAACTTCAAAGTTTACGCTTCCTTAATGTTGAAAAAAAGCAGTAGGCATCAAACCACAGATGAAGGATCCAGCATTTTTTGGTGTTTGAGCTAACAGACGTGGTACAAACTTGAAACATTTGTATGTTTATACTTATGTCAAATAATGATGCTTTTTAAAAAGTTGCAATGATTGGAGGCTGGTAACAAAAAAATCTCTAAAATTTTATCGCCCCTGCCCCAAATGTGAAAGCAACAAGTTGATGAAATAATTTTTTTGCTATTCTAAACTAAATTTATATTCATCAATAAATTTTATGTATTGTTTTATTTATTGTTTTTACAATCTCTAAGCGTTCAAAAATTATGACTATATAAAATTTGTAAACCCCTCAAATTGAGGAGGTTTAAACTTTATATGGTTACAAATTATGAACTCTGAGAGATATTACTATGAAACTTTAAAATTTATCAATGAATATAAACAAAGTTAAGAAGTTCAAAAAAATTATTTTACCAACTTGTTGCTCACACGTTTGAGGCAGGGGGATGAAACATTAGGGCTTTTTTAGTTTCCAGCCTCCAATCATCGCAATATTTTGCGATGATCGGAGGGTGCATCATCACTTTTAATAATGAAAGCAGTTGCCTTAGCTAGCTCCGTAAAAATCCACTCTTCTTTTTTTAATGGTTTTTTACAAGAAATCTTTATTTGAAGTAGCTTCTGAAGCTTCTCCAAGCTCATCACACGCTCTACATTATCTTGAATAAATTTTACTGAAAGCACAGCAAAATTGATTTTTTTATTCCAAAATATTATTCTTAAAACAAGAAAAACGGTTCTTGTTTTAAGAAATAAATATCCTACCCTACAATTTATTTTTAAAAACAAGAAATATATTTCTTGTTTTGAGAAATAAATTTCTTAAACTATGCTTATAGATTTACAATTTTGCTCTGAGTTCTGATGAGTTGTTAGCAACTTTGAAATATTTTAAAAGTTTTGAAATTCATTGTAGCCAAAAAGTCTGAGGGAGTCTCATCTGTAGGTATTTTTTCAAACTATGACTTAGAATATCAAAAATTAACCAGTAGTCTGGTGAAATATACAATTCAAGACCTAGTGGCTGGTCATTATCAACAAAAACTGCTTTCAGAAGGATTTCACCTTTGACTCTATCCGTTTTTACATTTTTTTAGACCTCCATTTGTTTTAGAATACAAAACTTTTTACCATTTTTATATTGTGATCTCGGTCAAAAGATGCTAATGCCAGCACCAAACACCCCTAAGGTTTTACCATGATTTGAATTTCACCTCTACAGCAGGCTCAATATACGTCTGCCAAAAGTCTTGTTGATCATAAAAGTGTAAATTAAAAATAATGCAATGTAGATAAAATAAGGTTTAAAATAACATTGCTAAATACTCATTACATTTATTTTTGACATTATAAAATTAAAGTGCTATTTCTATTGATTTAATTTTTATTATATTTCTACGGATTTTAAAAAAAGTCTGGAAAAAAAATTAGAGTTATTTTCTTTGTATTTTGCATCTGATTTAAGCCTTTGCATTGTTTTTAAACAATTTGTTACTTTATGATACAAATTATTCTTAAATAATAAGACCAAAATATCAAAACTTTAAGAATTGCAGAATCAGAAAAGTTGCAGGTCATAAACCGCGATTCCCTGGAGAGAGAAAGTCAGCCATTCTATTGATTTCTTTGAATATTTTATTACTCAGAATAAAAACTTGCCTAATTTTAGAGAAATGTAACTTGAATATTATGAAATTCAAGGTGTGTAAAACAGCTCCATATTTTTTAATTTTTTTCTGCAAATTCACAATAATCTCTGCACTTCTCAAAAGCTTAAATGTAAATAATTTTAAAATTAGAAACTTATTCATTTTGTTTTCGCAAAAAGTTTTATCTTTACCTTACTATTTTTTAACCTTTTATGGTTATATGATATAAATAGTTTATTCTCCAGCTTAACAGTTTTATTTACGGCTACAGCTATATGAAGCTCTCCGACATGATGGCAGGAGGTTAACAAGAATAATGGTCAGCCAGGAAACTTAGCTAATCTTGTACAAACTCGTTTTAAATAGCCAGGGCTTGAAGTGGGTGAACTGTATGAGATAAAAAGTATCGAACAAATTTCTAATTGCTGTGAATTGGGCCTCAATGCTATCGTGTTTAAAAACAACGCTTTTTTAATTTCATAACGAATATGTGAGTTTTTAAAATACCACTAGTTAACAAAAATAATAGCAATAAAAATGCGCACAATCGGTATAGATAAAAAACCTTCCATTACTTGTAATGACGTTATTATATAGTTAATGATTTGTAAATTTCTAGTCGCGCCGATTATTTGAAAATGCCCGTAAAAACTCAAAAAATGTAAAAATGTTAAACTTTAAAAGAGTGGCGTGAGTATAAATAATCTAAAATAAAAAATAAAAAAATTTCATTAAAAAAACAATACCTTGGGAATATTTTGTG